CCCAGTGATTCCCTTCGCCGCAGCTTTCCACAATCTAATTCGAGACCTGGTAGACAATAAGCCGTTCTCTCACTCCTCTGGCTGGTTGACTCCTGCTCCCAGTGATTCCCTTCGCCACAGCTTGCCACAATCTAATTCGAGACCAAAAATCACCCTAAAGAGGTTCTCCCCGTACGCCCTCACAATGTCTAACGTCGCTTTCGGAACCCGTAAAACAAGTCTGTGAAGCAGCGTCGAGCACGCCCTTTCTTCCGCTTTCGAGCCTTCAGCAACGCTTCAAGCCGCCTGCCGTGACGGACACGCCTCGGGTTGTTAGCTACGCTCCACGGGGCCGATCTCTCACCTCCCACGGGTCCTCTGGCTGGTAGACACCTGCTCCCAGTGATTTCCTTCGCCACAGCTTTCCACAATCTAATTCGATACAAAAATCGCCCGAAAGGGCGCCTCCCGGTACGACCCCAGAATCTCTAACGTCGCTTTCGGAACCCGTAAAACAAGTTTGTGAAGCAGCGTCGCGCACGCCCTGTCTTCCGCTTTCGGACCTTCAGCAACGCTTGAAGCTGTCAGACCTTCCGCAACGCTTCCAGCATGCCCTCGGTTGCCTTCTCTGGCGCGCGCCCCCTTCAACCGGCGGGGTTGGCGGATATATGTAGAGGAGGAGAATCGACCCAAGAATAATTGTATGAAATACTGCCCCAGGTTGCGGCAGCAGCTGGATTTTATTTTCCCGGACGCGCTCACAGCAGGTGGGCCGTCATCGATCACAACAGCTGTACCAATAGGACTGGGCGGGGGCTACGACACTTCTGTCCTAGTAGCTTCTAGTTGCTAGTAGCGATGCCAGGAGCCCCCAGGAGCGTCCTTGCTCCTAGTAGTAAGGCCAGGAGCCCCTAGTAGCTTCTTGTTCCTTTCTGCATCTTATGGTGGAGTGCATTTCTTTCCTCTCTCTTCATGCTCGCCATTTCCAGATAATGGGGCTCAAACTTCTAGTGTTAGGTTGTCCGACGGCTGTCCCTTTCAGGCCCTGCGCTCAATGGCGCTGCTAAGCTTCTGAAAAGAGGGGAGCAACCAGGAGAAGATGGGGTTTTGGCCACGAGACGAGACCGTCCTTGAAACCGGGCAGTTTGGTCTTGATAGCTTGACTTTATCCCAGAAAGCGAGACTCTCCAGTCAAGTGTGTTGAAACTGCAGTCACACTCATTCTATAGCCAAATTCTGTGCGACATTGTTGACTTTACTTCGGCCAATTGATGACCCTCAACAGATCCTCTTTTTGTCTCTGTACGCAGTACATAGTCGATCAAAATCGGGTGCTCGACATATTCTCGAGTCGGAAGAGAGAAACTCCCACATCGATATTTGCATACAAACAAACCCATTCTTTATTATAGACTGTACTTCAAGTGACTATGACTGTCTGCAAGTTGGCATAGAGTGGTGATGTTGATTCCGTGTTCGGTACCCAAGCAACAGGAGTGGGTCTACAGTGTTTCGTTTTGCCAGTGGTCTTGCCTACCTTTTCTTGATGCCCATTGGTGTTTGTGACAGTGAGCAAAAACAGATCTTGCATTGTTAATCCAAAGCTACTGGCACAACCTGCAAGCTGCTTAGCTCAAGTTGAGCAACCCAGCACAGGTCGCACACGACAAGCCGACAGGCCCAGTACATACAAAGTCAAGATACAAAACAGCTCGGTCTCACGTCACTACAGGAGACATACTTTTCGCGCAAAAGACCCATATCAAACGTCACATTGTCCAAATCATCAAGCAACTCCTATTCATTCTATCCTCATACCTGGCGATCCAACATTTTGATGCAAGCATGATTTCTACTTTTGCTTGGCGCCACCAGCGCCTGTAGTGCATAGCTCTTACACACGCCACTCCTAGTGTCGAACGAGTTTGGTTCCTCAGCTTGAGGACAAGGAGCTGAACATAGCACAGTAGTGGATTGAAGGGTGAAGTCATCGCAGGAGGGAAGTGATCATATTATAAGATATGATAAGCCTGTCTTGGATCTCGCTTACACTTCTCTGTGCCTTGAAAGCAGGCCGCAGGCAACTTGCTGAACAGACAGTATATGACAGTATGTGCAATGTGTTTATACATGTAGGTTGCTGACTTTCGCGTGAACGGCAAGCATGTTTTGATAGCAGGTGGCAGAGCTTGAATCTGACTGTCTATGTTTCGATTCTCAAAAGCACAGGCACTAGCAATCACCGCCTTTGCAGGCCATGACAGAGCCCAGTGGCACCCGGCAGGCAGCGGCGGTCCTTTTGGCTGCAGTCTTTGAACATCTAGGTGGTTCACGCAGTGGCAAGGACGCTACTAGGTGGAGGCCATCGCTATTAGGTGGCCATCGCTAGTAGGTTGGAGGCACCTTCAGAATGAGAACTCTGCTAATTGAAGTGCATTCATTTATCCGCAGCCAACTTGCAGGCCCACTTTCTTGAGACCGGTGTGGGCAGCATGTCATGAACTTTTTCGATTCACACTTTTGGTTAGGCTGAGCAGGGTTATCCAGCAAGAAAGTCGCTTTGTGTGCTACTATCCGTAGCGCGTTCATGCTTCGTGCTCCTTTTGCCTGAGTGTCCCAGTGAATGACACTTGGATGGCTGCATGGAAAGCGCTCCAAAGTGTGGCTGCTGGCATTTTTAACTATCGTGACTGTCAGTGGTGTCACCATTTTGCTGACGAAAGACAAACCAGCTGACCATGGCAGTGTGTCCAGAGTTGCTTGCGAAAGCTGGAATTTAGTGAATGTTCTGAGGACACCTGATACAATCGTACTTCAGTCAGTGGAGAACATCATGGAATATGTCAAGCTGCTTGTGCGCCGTGGCCGTGCCCGGGGGGTAAGCGCCAAAGATATTGAGTGGCTAAACAAAGCAAAGGAGGACATTTGCTCGGTCTTTGGGATCTCTCCTTTCCCAGAAATATTGATATGCGAAGATGGACGTATGCTTGCCCAAGCTGGCCCACGGCAATGCCACCATGCAGGCAACAAGAAGAACCAAAGTGACCAGAGGGGCCAGAGAGGCTGGATTTTGTTTTCCACTGCAGTCTTGCAGACCCTCCCACCTGAGGAAGTTGTTGCAGTCCTGGCTCACGAGTTGGCACATGTTGCAAAAGGGCATCACATGAAGAGAGCTTTCTTGATTTTGGATTTCTACCGCCTCATGCTTCTATGGAGCTTCAAACAAAAGGACGATTCCACAGATGAGGTGCAGACGATTGCCGCAACTGCGGGCATGTGGCTTTTGCTGGGACTTCGGAGTCGTGGACAAGAACTAGAAGCTGACCGATTGATGTTAGACATTGTAAACCCTGCCACAGCGCTTTTTGCATTAGCACGGATGCACCGCCCCACAGATGATCCATCGGAAGTTCTCCGAGACACGGCAGAAGTTTTGAAGCTCCTTGGCTTTCAGTCGGTGCTCTGAAAGGGTTATCGGTTATCGGATTATTTTGAAACTCAAAGTATAGGGACGGGTGAATGGTAGGTGGGGAAGTGATTCTTTGTGTCTTCAACAGCGAGCAGGAAGGGCACTTTTTGGCTTCACCTGAAGATGCTCCTGACAGGTGCCAGTCATCCTTGCCTTGCACTTCGAGTCCAGGCATTGGACAGAGCATGTCTCTCAAACAATGTGCGTCTAGAGCTTTCGAAGGTGGGAGCATTGGGCGTCATGTGAGCACAGTGGGATCAGACCTTTCGGAATGGTGGGCCTTCAAGCTTTTAAGCCTTGATCGGAGAGGATGCGGATGCAAAGATCGAGCACTATCCACTTCGTGGAAATGCGAGATGATGTGAGAAGAAGGACATGAACTAGTGACTTCTTCCTGCGTGAGATGGCAGTTCTTCCCGTTTGCTGTTCTTCTTTTCACAGATTCGTGCCTTCGTGGTGCAGTAGGAGCTTTGTCGGGACCTGAAGACTCTGCAAAAAGGAGGGCGAATGTTTGACGGAGAAACCATCTTTCCCTCCAAGCACACTCAGAAAGTTGGAAGCATCGCTAGATCTCCGCAAGGCTGAAGACTATCTGGACGTTGGCGTGAGACTGCCTTCGTGTCTCCCAACTCCCAACTTATCAACTTGTCTCCTTGGAGCGCGATGCCACGGTGTCGTCCACGCCCGTCTGCGGCAGATAGAGGGAACGGCGTTTGCTGTACTGTACTTTAAAGGAAAAGGGGGCAGCGTCAGTTTCCATCTCAAGTAAAGAAAGGAGAGAACCATCGAGCTAAAGGATGCGAATCCCTGTGAACCCGATGACCCGTTGGGCCCGTGGTGCCCCTGGAAAGGCAGACTAGGATTAAGAAAACTATTATTGAGAAGAATCAGAGCAAAGCAAGATGGTGAGGGAGGTCAAACTTAAAACAACGTGAAACAAGAGAAAGGTTCAAGCGCTGTGCAGACAAAGTAGACAGAAGAAGAACCAAACGAGTAGGGGCATGGAAGAGACACCTCGCCTGACACAACTTCTGACATTGTACTTGGTGTAGACTGAGACAATTCAGAGCTATCGAGTGAACGTTTGCAAAACCCCGTGCGACACAGAGTCTGAACTTCTGACATTGTATCGTTTGATGGAGATAGAGACCGAAGAGAACCAAAGAATCATAGAGCTAAAGCTTGCTAACACCCTTGAACCCTTTGAGGCCGCGGAAAAGGCAGAATAAGAACAAACACATGAAAAAGAACGCAAGACGATGAGGAAGGTCAATTTACTGCAAGGACAACATGAAAAAAGAGGAAGGTTTGAACGCGGCGCAGACAAAGACTGAAGGAGGACAAAACAAGTAGGATCGCGTAAGCGATGCTTCGCCTGACAGAACTTCCCGCAGTGTATTTGATGCAGACAGAGACAATCAGAACTATGACTATGGAGCAAAAGTTTGCGCACCCTCCGTGCGACGCACTGTCTGATATAATCTCTGAAAGTGTATCTATTTGACAGAGACAGAAGAGGACCAAAGAACAAAACATGAGAACTTGATTGACCGTGTTGGGCCCGTAGAGCGCGTTGGGCCACGCGTAAGCAACGCCTCACTTGATTTGCAGCAACTTCTGGCAGTGATGTCGACAGAGACGTTGGGCCCGTGAAGCCTGTGGGGCGTTGAACGACCATTCTTGGTATTGCACAAATAAATGATGCCTTTGGCAACATCAGTTTGTGTTGAAGCCCCCAAGCACAGACAGCCAGCTGTCAACGCCTCGATGGCCTGCAGGCCTCGCAACCTAGTCTCTTTACGAGAAGTGCATCTGCCACTTGGACCGGGTGAGTCAGGGCTGAGCATTTTCTGGGCTTCGTCAGGTGCTTGTTTGTTTGTTTGTTGGCTGGCTGGTTGGTTGGTTGGTCAGGAGGCCAGACTTTTCTGATCAGAAGATGATGGGCAGTACTGTATGGGCTCATGGTCTGGTCCCGCTAGTCAGCCTTCGATGAGGGAATGGTGAGTAGATGTTATATACTGGATGTTACCGAATGTTACATATTAATGGCAGTTTGTTTTGTAAGCGGTGGCTTTCATACGTATCAAACTGGTTGTGGACATTGAATTCGCATGTTTGCTTTTCCTCTACATTCCAAAATCATGTTTGCGGTTATTGAATGTGGTTTTGGAGGCCATCTCAATTAGCCTGTTTCTTGCATTTTCTGCAGTTTATGCAGGCTATGTGCCCGTGTTCATTCTCGGGCATAGACATGGTCCGCCAGGGTCATAACTACAAAAACGTTTGCCAGCTGGCAGGTGGAAACTCTTACTGCACGCGACTTTGTCAGTTCAGTGCTATGCACACTATGCACTTAGCCATGGTTAATGGTTTCCCTTCCGTCTAAAAGCCTCATCCACACAGAGCACACTCTCGGGCTGATCGCATGAATCTCCGATGTGTAAGAGTGAAACGTTGCGAAAAAACGACGCAACCCAGCTTGGACTCTAAGACTCTAAGAGCTTGGATGAAATGAACGAGAAAGAATTCTTTTGTGTTTTTTTCCTCGTCTTCCTTTATTTTGAGGCCATCATATCAGGTGGTGGTGTTGTCACTGCCAGCACAGATGATGACGGCCGCGAACGTGGACGCAGCGGTTTCAGCCCTAGGGCCCCAGGGGCTGAGATGGTGTGTTGGGTGTGAGCGCAACACGTTGTTGGGTGGCCGCCTAGAGGGTAATCCTGCAAGCCTGCAATCACCATGAACTTTCCATCAAGTAGAAATTGTTTCAACAGCAGAAAGAGGCCACATATGTAGACACTTCGGAAGCTGTTTTATTCACGAAAGCTACTGTTGATGGACAAAATCCTGCACCACCTCACCACTTTACCCTGG